TGAAAGCTTAATGGTTACTTGTGAAAGGCTCTTTCTTTGTTACAAGATACAGAGATTTTCTTCTCTTTAAAAACCAAGTATACTTGACAGGATCTGAATCTCTGCCAGGATACAACTGTAGCTTAGCTACCCTCAACTGCGGCCTAGCTAATTACACACCAGCTATTTCTCCTAAATAGCTATGCCAGTTTGCTACAGCTTCTCTTGCTGGCAAACCTAAGGCAAACTGCCTACTCTTAACACGAACTCCTAAAAACTGCCTTCCTACTCTAATCCCTAACAACAGACTGACTGAAAAAGCCTCTCTTCTTTCCCTCCAAACAGTCTAAACTCCGCCCCCCTTTAATAAACCAATCCTGGCTGTTCTAAGGCTGACTCAGGCCTAGGCCACTCCCCCTCTCTGAAATGGTGCTTTCCCTAAACTAAAATGGCTCCTACTGCCCTCTGCCAGGCCCTCCAAAGCTGCAACCAACTGGCCTGCCTCTCCTAGGCCCTGCCACCCAGGCTGGAAAGGTAAGGGATCTTTACAAAAGCCTTCCCCAAGAATCTTAAAACTTGGTTGGACTCATATTGACACCTCAAAACCCAGGTTTATATAGAGAAATATAGTGTTCCAGTTAATCTAAGTCTCAAAGACAAAATCCATGCATATGGGTGCTCAGGCCTTACTAATCTGCTAGGTGTCTATTTCAATGAGTGCAGTACATCTAGAGAAAGATGTAGCTGCTAGTACACAACATGGTTTCAAATCTTTTCAAGAAACAAGAATCTGAATGAAAATTTTTAACACCCTTACACCTACAGAAATAATAGATTTTATAAAACATGCTTTTTGCATTAACTTTGAAAGGCATTTCCAGAGTTTAGACAAGGCATTAAATTAGTGGTGTTTTACTTTAGCGCTATTATAATTAAGTGCCTGTCAGCATTTCCAATATAAGTACCTATTTTTGGAATTTAATTTGGCCATTAAATTCTCCTCCAGGGTGAACATTTATAGACAGTGCTTTAGTATCAACGATGTTTGAAATGAAATGACTGCTTTTAGCTCTCCGCAAAAGAGGTAGATCAATTTATTTACCAGTATGAAAACACTCTTTTAGAGTCTTGTATCTTAAATGGGTTTTTTTTATCTTTCTACAATAAGATAGGATTTTAGAAAACACCAAGAATATGGATGTTGAATTGCTTGCCACACACCACTTACTTAGTTTAAAATCCTTTCCATTACTCTGTGAATGCACAGATATGGCAAAGAGTAACATTACTCAATGTCATTATAATTTGTCAACTGCAGCACAGGAAAGAAGGCTGTTAGCACTTTAAAAGCTGCAGCATAGTGCATCTTGTGAAATAAAAAGGCAACAGATGCAACTTGGCAGTGAAGCAGCTTATCAAACAAAAGATGCATCCAGCCCTGCCTCCTTACAAAAGCATTTCTCTAATGCCTACATGTACAAGTTGCTATATATTTATTTTAATGCAGTTTACACCCCACTTGTTGCTCAAAAAGTTTTCAAGGAGATACATGGGTTTCAACCTAAAAAGGAGGAGGAGCGGGAAGGAATATGCCAGCATTTTAATTTTCCTTGGTTTATCATAACAAGGGGCTTTTACAGATTTCAATCCATTTCTTCATATACAATGATGGAGCACAAAATTAATGCCGCTGGGCTTTCAAGCAGTTACACTGTTATGGGTGTAGGGTTAATGAGCAGTCTTGGTTCTGCCTTTTCCTCTCCTCTGCTTTAGTTCCCCCTGTTCAGGCTTTCCCAATAGTGTAGATGCCTTCCTTTGTATTAGTTTTGGATGGAGCATTAAAAAACCCTAGAGACCAGCATTAGTTGGTCTATTCCATTTGCCTGTATAGAGCTCTTTTGCTGGACTCCAGCAGAGTTACAGAGAGGCTTGGGCGTTGTCTGGTAATCCTAGGCCCAAACAATCCAAAACAGACATCCTTAGCACCTGCATTCAGCAGTGTTCTTATACCAGTAGTCTCAGTGACAACAGAAGCTTTTGACCAGCTTGAGCTTCACAAGAAAGAAGATTGAGAGAGCTTATAAGCAACAATTTGTAAACCATCGCTTTACACCAAAGGCAGAAGACTCCAGAGAGATGACTGCAGACAGCAAAATCTCCTTTTGTAATGTATTATTTCAAGTTCCCTTAAAATAGCCCCAGGTGGACTCATTTGGTTATCTTTTCATCTTGCCTAAAGTGCCTCTGTGTTAAAGGGTCTTAATCTTAACAGAAGGTATACACACAGCCCCCGGGTAAAGCAAAACACTGTAGTTTTCCCAAAGGCTCGCAGTTATCTGCCAGTGCAGTTAGTGGAAGATGGGACACAGGATGGTGCAAATTATGATGCTGGCTCAAAATCTTCATAATGTTATTCAGTCATCACTTGACATTTGTGATTTTGACTTTTGCAGATTTGATTATTCGTGGATTTGATTAAATATGTTCTCTGTAATGATCTTCAGATCCTCCAGTGAGACTCTGTGATCAATGTCCTGGAGTCATGCTAAAGAACCTACAGATTTGTAGAGAGAACACCTTTTTAGGAACTTTTAGGTCCTCCAAAGCAATACTATGTTCAGCTTCCATCTGGAAGACCTAAATGTTTTAGAAAGACATCACACACACACATTCATTTATTTATTCTTGGTGTTTCATTTTCACAGGGGCCTTGTGTTCCCAACTCCAGGGAAAGTGGAGAACACTGTATCAGATGACAGAGATCTCAGTCTTGAGATGTGAAAGCAAGACATTTTGCTTACTTGAAAGTCGGCTCCATTGAATTAGGAAAACTTTTGGAGGTAATATCATTAATAACTGTAATGAAACCTGTGTATTTCTATATGTAGTGTGCAAGAAACCATTGTCTCTATTCATATCTTTGTAAATGGTTTCAAACTTATAAATATTTCATTTTAACAGTTCCTCATCCTAAACTTATTTAGGATTTTATTTTGTTGCAAAGCACATTTTTGTGGGTCCAGCAAGGCTGAAATTATCTACAACTGGTGTTTGAGGATTTGACATTTGTAATATTAGATTTGTGTCCATTTCTCCCCTTACATGCAAACTGATCTGTTTATCCAATGTAGAGTGCAGGTGGCATTTCTGAGGGAGGATGACATGTATTCTACTGGAGGATGTACAACTTATATTGTGAATGATATTGTTATAGTGTGTCTACTCTTGCTGCCAGAGTACATGTGGGTCTTAATTGGCATTTGGGTTTCATGGGCATCAAAGGGATAGGACTCTCATAAAAGTGGAAAAATATGAATTTAAAAAATTAAGCTGAAAAAAACACCTCTGGGAATTTCTAGGTCTTTGGTAGATAGTATTTCTATTTTCCGTTCTAAGATCCCTTGCCAGCATGGTGACCACACATGACAATCATATCTCATCATGCTCATCAACACTATTCTCTAAGATTGTCCCCATACCAATTTCTTCCTATAGCAGAAATGTTGAGAGACAGAAGGTTGACATGGATCTAGTTAGTGTCCATGCCTTCTTTGTAAGCACATTTTGACTATTCAACCACAGTCTAGAAATACATCTACATATGTAAATTCCCACACACATTGTGGTCTTGGCAAGGGATAATTATAGACAGACATAAGGGAATAAACCAGTTAGGTGACAGTGTTCTGGATTGGGTAATTTCTCTCCCCCCAACAATTTGAAAAGTGAGGAGTTTCCAAAAATGCATGATAACTGAATCATGACAAAACCTGACAAAATGAGGCTACAACCCAAAGCACATTTATGCAAACATTCACTCTATCAAAATAAAACCGACATCAAAGAAAGCATGTTTCGTACAAAAGCATTAATGTGAAATAAACAGTAATCTTTCATTCAGACATTCTTGTGCTGCCTTTGAAAGAGGTACAAGGACATGTTCTTTGTGGGAAATGTATCCAATTGCTTTGGGGTTTTTTTAAACCACAAACATAACCCTTAGCATCTGCTCAAAACAAGCAATTGCTCCATGGTAAACCAGCTTGTTTGCTTTTTTATGTAAACTCTTTCTTTTCAATCGAAAATATCTGAAATGGTGGAGATGATGGTTTCTCTCCAAGGTTTTGGAAAACTGCAGTCAAATTACTGGTCCTCTTGCCAGAGCTTGGAACTTAACTTCTTAAATGTAATCCATTCTTTTTATTCATTACAATTAGAAGAAGTGCTCTCTCATGTTACATGCTGCTTGAAAACAACTTGTTATAATACATAAAGGAAAATCTATTAAAATGGCCAATATCCCTCTAATTGACTACCCACAACTAACTTTTACAAGAAACCAGTAATCAGTGTCTGATGTATTCAAAATATAACATTGTTACCTGTCATTATATTGCTTCTGTGTTAAGCCTGGATAACATGGGAAAACATGCTGGGTCATACCTGCCTGTGCAAGGTAACCCTATTTCTTTAGAGCCAAATGGGAACAGTTAATATGTGTCATTCAATATAATTATTTTGTGTGCTCCTTGCTATATCTGTTAAAATTATTTGCTTTTGACAATTCTACTCCGGTCACAACTTGTATGGTGCAGGCAGTTTCATGGTATGCTGGTCTGGTAAACTTCAAGAGGCACTAGCTGGTGAAGGAATGAAACTCACATACTTCCAATTGCCAGCCATCTTGAAAAAAATATTACACGGGGGGAATCCTTGCCTTAAGCAGCTGTGGCCTCTAAGAGAGGTAACCAATGCCAAGAGTTTCAAGACATTTGTGTCCTTCATTCCCCTACTTGGATGACAAACTGGCTGCTTCAGCAGTCTTAGTTCCAAGCCAGAAACGTTTTGCCCCAGGAGAGGTTTGGGTAACATGAGAATTTCTCTGTTGGATGAGCTCCAAGCAAGCCACAAAAAAGTAAATTGTTCAATATTTCATTTCACAACATTAACACTTAAGTTTGATGCTACTAAAACTTCACTGAAATGTTAATATTATCCAGTAATGATAATGTCTGACTTACCAACTATCTGTAGTTTTTGTTTGCGTTCGTTTTCAGAGTTGTCTTTTTGCTCTTGAGGCTCCTCATTGTCCAATTTTTTTTTAGTTTTCACATCTGGCAGTGCCAGTGAATCTGTCTGAACTGTGATCAAGACAGCATTCTATCAGTGATGCAGTTATGAAATATTTACTGTGACTCTACTGCAACTATGTTAGCTTTTCAATATGGATAACTCCTCTCCAAATGTATTATTGTAAAGCCTTAGTCCTCAATCAGATAACTAAGCAGGTGGGCTTTTCCTTTGCATTCCATTAAAAGGACAGAATGACAATACAAAATCATATGAGAAAGCATAAAAATGTAAGAATATAGAATTCAGATGGAAATCAATATACATTACATAACTGAATATTGCAAAATTGCAGAACTGTAAAAGAAAATCTGTGAATGCGTCCTACAAAATCTACCTAATGTCCAAAAATAAAAAAGAGAGAAATATTACCCTCTCTAATATATATTTCATCATTTTCTACATTTCCCAAGAGGGTTTGGCAAAAGGTGCGACTACATAGTGATAATACTCTATTTTTCTGTCATCTGGGTTAGATGCAGTTGCTAATGGGAGTTAAGACGATGCACCTTGTATTTAGCACTTGGAAAATGTAATACCATTATGAGAGTTCTTTCCTTTATAACAGTTTTGAGTCACAGAAATTAACCATGTTGAACTGGTGTACTATAGGCTAAGTTACTACAATTTTATTTAGCATGATAGGCAATATCTGTAAATTCTCCATAGTAAGCCCCACACACTTCTACTATCAGTTAGTGTATTAATCTACAAAATTTTAGTAAACAAGAGGAAGAGAACCTACGTTTGTCAAAGCAGAAATTTACCTGTATCTAGTTCTCTTTGTGAAGTGAAAGCAGCGTACAATGGTTTCTTCCGAAGCAATGTCAGATGTACAACTGACCCCGTCTTACGCAATGCTTCTACGACTTCTTGATTTGTATAATTCTGAATGTTAATACCATCCACCTAATGTACATAACACCATGCATTTTTTAAAAAAAATGTAATCTGTGACACAAATTGGATTTCTTAAGAATATCTGCCTATAATGCTTATTTTGGTGCCATTCTTTATGTCTAATGATACTTAAAACAATATATTTGAATACAGAGATTAAATTGGGACTGAACTTACACCGATATCATTATCAAGACTACACCAATATTGCTTAAATTCCTTGCCATGAAAAAGCAATCAGAGTAAAGTAAATATTTAAAAGCTGAGACCCATCTGAGGATGGCAAGCTTTAAAACTGAGGAAAGAAATGTGTAGATAGAAAAATCCCTGCAACAAAGAGTTCAAGAATTCAAAATAAAAAAGCAGAGAAAGAGACACAGAGCTGAATCCTAAATTACTCCTCTGTTCTTCTGGGATCTGTCAACATTGCCTTCCAGCTGCAGCAAAGCACATCACATCACACACCATTCCCAAGGGTCCCCCAACCCCCCGGGGTCAGACCTCTGCGGCACGCAGGGAACTGCCGAGAGAAGTGGGAAGCAAGAAAGGCATTTGAATATGAATTCTTTTCTGTTCACAGTAGAGAAATTAATATCCAAGCCAATACAATTTAATATCACACGATATGAAAGGGGGTTAACTTAGGGTCAATGGTCATGCCCTTTATATGCAGCTGCAACCACCTGGGAGCCTTTTTCTGTGATGCAACTTTGTGTGAGTGAGAGCTGCATGTGATTGATACAAACATATGGAAAGTCTTGATTTCATGAGTCCTTTAAATGAAGCACACTATTAGGAATAGGATTTAGATTATAAAAGCCTATTCCCATATGGCTACATCTGAATGACACATCAAACAGATACCCTAGAAGAGATTATTTCAATCCTAAAACATTCCACTCTTCACCAAACATTTTTGTTTGCAATGTAAAAAAAATTCAGACCTACAAAACAAAAAACAACAACAAAAAATAACTTACAGCAATAATTTTGTCATTGACTCTTATTTGGCCATTATGTTCCGCAGCGCTGCCAGGTATTATGTTTTTGACAAAAATCCCTGAAGATTCCACTTTAAAGAGGAACAAAGAGCACTATTAATGTATTTGAAAAATATTGCAGAGTCCCAGAAACTAGTCAATCTGCAGTTTTGACAGATAAGAATGAAAATAAGGGGGCTTGGGTGACAGAGAATATTGGGGAGTGAGAGCCAACATAGTGTAGTGATTACATTCAGACTCTGGGCTCTGGGATGGGGGGGGGATCAAATTCCTGCTCAGTAATGGAGATCCACTGGGTGACCTTGGCCAAGTCACAGTCACCCTAAGAAGATAGTCATGACAAATCCCTCCGAACAAATCCTCCCAAGAAACGCTTATGACAATGTAGCTATAAGTTAGAAGCAACTTGAAGGTGCATAATAAACAACAAAACTGCAAAGATCTGGCAGGGATCATGTTGGTCCTTTTTGAGACTTAAAAGGTCACATAGCTCTACTGTGGCCACACCTCTGTTTTATTTTTTAATTAGCTATTGGTGCTTTTTATTTGCCTTCAAGACTGTAATTTATGGTGAATCTACCTTAGTGTTTTGGGGTTCTATGGAACAACATTTCTTAGTACTATTTTGTTGCTATATACCCTCAACTCATGCCCACTTATGATAACCCCAACATATTGCAGGGCTTTCTTGGCAAAGTTATTCAAAGGGGGTTGCCATTACCTTCCTCTGATGTTCAGAGAGGTGACTAGCCCAAAGTCCCTGTGGGTTTCTATGGCTGAGCAAGAATTGAACTCTTGTCTCTAAGAGCCTCATCCCATGGAGGTCCTTGATGCAGGAGACAGTGAGGGGATCCATGGGGCAGTAGGGCAAATCTGTCGCCCAGTGACCTTCATTGACCACTTGCATTTCTGTACCTTTCCAGTGTGCTCCTGTGCTGTCCCCATGATTTCCAATCTGAACACAGATAGTCTTATGTTCATAATTCCCATCGTAGAACACTTCACCAATGCAGCTATCACAGAGCCCCACCGGAAATAGCTATGTGTCATGTGATGAGATCGGGCGGACTCTGTGCTGGCTGTGTCAGCGAAGTGTTCCAGGATGGGGAAATTTGCCAAATGTGATGAGGTCCCAAGATCCTAAACTACTAAACCATACCATCTCTCCTGACAGCTAGTGCAGCACCCATATTAATACATCACTTTAGTTTTTTATTTTTACTTTTAAAATTTTTCTAAAATCTGAAATGTATCCCTCACACTACCAAAAAGTGTAATAAAAGTCTGATCAATAACTATGGAATTCATTGGAATGGAAAGTTTTTGTTTTGACTCCTACTTCCAAAAAATGTTGAAGTAAAGAATACATAATGTATCAAGAGTATGATTGCCTACTGACTACATTTATTATGCCATATAATTGTTAAACTGCATTTCAAAGGTTTAACTGGGATGAGAGGGTATTATTTATTTATTTATTTACTTTACTTTACTTGTATACCGCAGTTTCTCAGCCCAACAGGCGACTCAACGCGGTTTACAACAAGGATAAGAATCAATCAACGATATACAATTTAAAACCATAAAAGCATAATATACAATATTGACACAACAATAGACAACACAATGCATCCCATAACTAGAGTCGTGATCCAATCCGTCGTCCAAATTTCCATTCCTGTAATCATCACATTCATTGCACTGTTTAACCGAATGCCCGTATGCTAAACTAGAGCCACTGAATCAATGGGAATTTGATAAATCAACATTAAATAAGCTCCATTGATTCAACAGGTCTACTCTACTTGAAATGAAAATTGGATTTAAGGTCTAATCTTTAAGGTGCTACAGGACTCCATTGATTTTGTACACATTTTAATCGCGTAAGCCATTAAACTATTAACAGAGTAATTTAAACTGATCACCATGGTTAAGGAATATTCCCCCCATCCTGTAACAACTGAATTTTCTACATTAAATAAGATGTATTCAAAAAACTCTCCCTCATGCTTTCTTCCTAAATAGACCAAGTATATATAGCTCACCTGTATCAGAAACTCCTGAATAGCCAACAATTGTTATACCAAGGCTCTGCCCATCCTTTTTAGTCAGTTGAACTTCATGAATTTCATTTTCCTGGGAAAGAAAAGCATAGTGTACATTCGACTTATGTTAGAATTTAAAGTTAAATCATTTTACAAGTTCCTATTTGAGCAAGGCCATTGAAATCGCTGAGGTTTGTATAAATTCATAACGACTCCCACATCTGCAGAACTGATGTACATGGTTTCATTTAACCATGGTTTCACTTATTCATTCAGGTCTTCCTATACAAGCTAAACCTCATTCTTTGTACATCCATTGTTCATCCCACTGAAACTAATAAAGTTTGCTATTATCTCCAGTTTCACATATCCACACAAAATCTAGTAACTTATTCCCCACAGATAGGGAGATCATACAATGTTGACAAACTATTCAGTATAATGCTTCTGGAATATGGCCATACAGCCTCACAGCAACCCAGTGATTCCGGCCGTGAAAGCCTTTGACAACATATTCAGTAGTAGTTTGGTTGAATGAATCTACTATAGTGGGACAACAAATAGCATTGAAGCCTTAAAAGATGTGTACATTAGCCTTCAACACTTGCATAGCTTCTGCTGCGAGCTTACATAATTAATCACCTGACTGGCCACCCCTTCAGTTCAAAAGACCCAAGGTTTTATAAAGTGGTATATCAACACCGGGCCACAAAGCACTATTTTCAGAGTTTCAGTGTCTGCAACACTGAAATAGTTTATTCTAAAGGCTTACTGTTGGCACTATAGCAGATTGCCAAAGATGGGAAATTATCAGAATTGATTTCAAACATATAGTTTCCCTAGATAAAACTAGAGTGGCAGATATAAAAAATTATTTAACATCTCAAAAAGGCACATACAGATTGATTCATCTGAAACAGAAAAAGAGAATTCCATATCAAGTTCTCATCTCTATTGATGGATGAATTTCTAAATAAAGAGTTTAACACTGTAAGGAATTATTTGAACTGCATTTGGAAGTTTGGACTGAGAAATTAGGTATAAAGAGTTTTCATAATACTTATATGGGTTTGGTTTCAATTCACTGATTTGATGTTAAAGTTTGAGGAAAATCTCCAAGCCTTAATAACCATAAATCCTAAGTATATGAAAAAATTACATTAAGATAGTCTTAAAATATAGAGGTTCCAAGTATATTGGGCTAAAAAACAACTATTTTTCTTCGTGGTCTCTGCGAATGCACACTTGTGGAGAGACTGCGCCTGCGCGGGCTCCAACGGAAACTTCTACTTTTGAAACTTTTGAAGTTTTGGCGGTAACCCCGCCCAGCCCCGGCAGGGGATAAAAGGGCGCCCCGCGCGCGCCGCTCCAATTCCTTTTTTTCCGCCGCACGGCTCACTTCGGTGCTTCTAGTGTGTGTAGGATAGTTAGATTTGTTGGATAGTGATTTCTCCGAGCTGTTTCTTCATCGAGTTGTTGACCATATTATGTCAACAACTCGCTTCAAAAGATGTGCAAAATGTCCGAAGAAGATACCTGATTCGGACAAGCACGCTCTCTGCCTTCTGTGTCTCGGCGAGGCACATATTACGGCCTCATGTCGTCATTGTCAGGCTCTGACGGCACAGTCCCGTAAAAACCGGGCTCATCGACTTCGGTACCTGCTGTACCAACAGGCGTTGGCCCCGGTACCTTCGACATCGGCGTCGAGGTCGGCCACGGTGTCTGGACCTTCGACAGCAACGTCTGTCGACCCCCCGGTAGAGACTGAATCTCGACAGTCGAGGAGGGCTGCGCAGAAGAGACCAAGGGCAGCGATGTCGACAGCGTCGAAGGCCTCGGCGTCGACGGCTTCCAAGGCTCCAAGGCCTACGAAGCAACCACCCCCACGCTCGGTCACTACTGAGACCGGGCTCATCGACTTCGGTACCTGCTGTACCAACAGGCGTTGGCCCCGGTACGTGCGGCATTCATCGACCAGCTCGGTGCGGCATTCATCGACCAGCTCGGTGAGGTCGGTTAGATCAACGAGGTCGACGTCGGCGACCCCGCCATCTTCTACGGCGGTTCGCATTGCCTTCCGTCGGTCTCAGGAAGAGTCTCGGCGTGCCTCTACCTCATCTCCTGTTCCGCCCACCCCGGGCAAATCGCTGTCGAAGACTACGCAGCCTCCAGCAAAGAAGAAGAAGACGATGCCGCCTCCACCCTCGTCTTCTTCCTCTTCCCGGAGGCAAACCACTGCCTCCTCGGCCACCTCGTCGGCGAGATCGTCGCCGGTACGGCCTACCGTATCTCAGCCGGCCCCGCAGCCTGCTCAAGAGCCGCAGCCTGTACCGATGCCGCCTCAGGAACAGCCCGAGTCCCCGGTGATTTCGGTGGACACGGTGATCGAGGCACCTGCTCGACACGTGACAGCCAGACAGGAGCTTTTCCCACCGGTCACGGCGTTGGCTACTGTGACAGCCAGACAGGAGACCCAGGCGATACTGCAGACCCCTGAAAGGGGCAGACAAACCATGAGATTGGCCAGTGCCATTCGGGCCTCGGCCTCAAAGGCTCCTCCAGTGCTTCCGCTACAGCTTCAGAGCCGGGATGCCTCCTCATCCCCACCACCCCATTCCCTACCTCCTGATGAGGAAGAGGAAGATGGCGAGTTGCCGGGATCGGTGCACTCGGGATCGGTGTTGTCTCTCGGGATCGAGAAATCACCTACCCACGACGCCTATGAGGTGGATCCCCCATCGCCAACAGACAATGTCCGAGCCTTTGCGGACCAAATGGCTTGCATGGCTGAGACTCTGGGCCTGGAGGTCAAACAGACTTCCAAGGCAGTGACTGATCCAGTTTTCAAAAGGGTACAGAGGGAGTCTCCACCTGCTCCTCTCCTACCCTTCCTTCCCTATCTCCTCGAGGTGATCCAGGGCTCCTGGAAGACCCCTTCCTCCATCCCACCGACGTCCAAGAAGATCGAGTCCTGGTACAGGACTGATGACGAGGGCCTAGAGTGGCTGAAACACCATCCCGACCCTAACTCGGTGGTCGTGAAAGCGGCTCAGGGTTTCGGAAGACAGTCCTCCACGCCATCCGACCGCGAGGGGAAGAGATTCGACGCGGTGGGCAGGAAGCTCTATTCGGGTGCCCTCCTGCTGGCCCGCATGGCAAACTATGGAGCTTGCATGGGGGCCTACCAACAGATTCTGTGGGAGAAAGCGGAGCCCTTCTTCCAAAGGATGCCGGCTGAGGATCGGGCTGCTATGACCACCCTGGCTCAGGAGGCACACTCTTTGGTGCATCATCAGATGCAGATGGCCAAGCACACGGGAGACACCGCGGGCAAGATGATTGCTCACGCTGTGGCAATCAGGAGGCATGCCTGGCTGAGATCTTCTGGCCTCTCTACATCGTCGAGGCAGGTGATCGAGGACCTCCCGTTTGATGCCCTGGGCCTCTTTAACGCAGGGACGGACGCAGTCTGACAGACTTTCTCCCTGCATGGGAAAATATCACCTCAGATGCATGGGTTTTGAAGATTGTCGACGAAGGCTATGCATTGGAGTTCGAAGAGCTCCCACCAACGGGGCAAATTGTCGAAACCGAGCCATCCTCGGCAATTCTGACAGAAGTCAATACTTTGCTACTGAAGGGAGCGATTTCCCCTTTCCCGGACTCCCAAAACCATCGAGCCTTCTTCTCCAGATACTTTACTGTCCCGAAGCCGGATGGCTCCCTTCGCCCCATCCTCGATCTCAGAGACTTAAACTCCTTCATCGAGCATCGAAGGTTTCGGATGGTGACGGTATCGTCCATCCTCCCCTTCCTCCGGTACAGGGATTTCTTCGCGTCCGTCGATCTCCGGGACGCTTATTTCCACCTCGCGATCAGGAAACATCACAGACGCTTCCTGGCCTTCAGGGTAGCGGGACAGTCATACAATTTCAATGTCCTCCCCTTCGGTCTCGTGACGGCACCGAGGACCTTCACAAAATGCATGTCGGTGGTCGCAGCAGCCCTCAGAAGGGAAAAGATCCGAATTTTCCCTTATTTAGACGACTGGTTGTTGGCGGCACGCTCACCGGATCTTCTGCGGGTGCAGGTGGCAAGGACACTTTCCCTCCTCGAAGACCTGGGCCTCCAGTTGAACGAGGAAAAATCCCAACTCAAGCCCACCACTTGCATAAAGTTCATCGGCGCCAGGTTCGATTCTCTCTCCCAGACGGTCTCCCTTCCAGAAGAGAGATTCAGAGCACTTCGGGCCGAAACACTGAAAGTGCGTCGCTCCCGAGTGGTCTCAGCGAAACAATTGCAAGTCCTCCTCGGGCACATGGCCTCCACGGTGATGGTGACACCGCTGGCAAGGCTCCGTTTCCGTCCTCTGCAGAGGTGGTTCTTGGACCACTTCAATCCTATGCGGGACAGAGCCACGAAGCGTCTGTTGGTACCGAGGTCGGTAAAGGACTCGCTGGCTTGGTGGACGAAGCGCGATCATGTCTGCAAGGGCATTCCCTTCCACCCAGATCCCCCGACCATCACGATCACGACGGACGCCTCGATGTTCGCATGGGGATGCCATACAGGAGACCTCTCAGTCCACGATCTGTGGTCTCCGCAAGAAAGACAATGCCACATAAATTACTTGGAACTGCTAGCAATATTCAAGGCCCTGAGAGCATTTGCCCTCCTGGTTACCGGGAAGTCTGTCCAAATTCTCACGGACAACATGGTGGCAATGTTCTACATGAACAATGCAAGGGCATTTCTTTTCATCCAGAACCCCCGACCGTCACGATCACGACGGACGCCTCGATGTTCGCATGGGGATGCCATACAGGAGACCTCTCAGTCCACGATCTGTGGTCTCCGCAAGAAAGACAATGCCACATAAATTACTTGGAACTGCTAGCAATATTCAAGGCCCTGAGAGCATTTGCCCTCCTGGTTGCCGGGAAGTCTGTTCAAATTCTCACGGACAATATGGTGGCAATGTTCTACGTGAACAAGCAGGGCGGAACGGGCTCGAGGAAACTCCTCGCGCTGTCGATGGAACTCTGGGATTGGTGTGTAGCCAGGTCGGTGTCGATATCAGCAGTACACCTCCCGGGCGAGAACAACACCGAGGCCGACGCACTCAGCAGAACCAGGGCGACATCTCACGAGTGGAGGTTGAACCCCGATGTCCTAGCAGAAATCTTCGGGGAATGGGGCCTTCCAGTCGCAGATCTCTTCGCGTCGCCGCAAAACGCTCAGCTCCCTCAGTTCGGTGCTCGGCTTGCTCCGAACACGGTACCGGGGTGTCTCGGAGACGCTTTTCTGTTAGACTGGTCAAGGCACCTGCTCTACCTCTTCCCACCGTTCCCGCTCATCCCGAGGGTAATCGAGCGAATACAGTCGGTGCAGACGGACTGCATCCTGGTGGCGCCAGAATGGCCACGACAGCCGTGGTTCCCGGTCCTGCTCCAGCTGTCTCGGGGACGGATGAGACGCCTTCCACTTCGACAGGACCTCCTCTCTCGGGAGGACGGTCAACTCCTCCACCCCGACATCGCTTCTCTGCATCTTTCAGCGTGGAGGATCCGGTGTTGACATCCCTGTGCCCAGGAGTCCTCCCGATCTTGGAGGCGGCCCACAAGCCGGCCACCAAGAAGTGCTACTCAGCGTGCCTTAACCGTTTTCAGGCCTTCCTTTCCGAGAAGGGCCTGGACGACCATCGACCGTCGATACCGGCGATCCTTTCCTTCTTGCTGCACCTTACGGAGCGGGGATTGTCGCTGTCTTCGCTCAAATCACATTTGGCTGCCATATCGTGGCAGCTCCAACGAGCGGGGGAAGCCTCCCTCTTCAGGGACAGCTCTGTAAAGTCTTTTTTGAGAGGTTTCAATAACCTGCATCCCCCGGTGCGGTCTCCGACTCCGGGGTGGGACCTCGACCTTGTACTGGCTAGGCTCGGGCAACCCCCTTTCGAGCCTTTGGTTTCAATTGACCTTCGGTTGTTGTCTTGGAAGGTGGCCTTCCTAGTTGCCATCACCTCAGCCCGCCGACCGTCGGAGTTAGCGGCATTGCGGGTGGACGAACCCTATTTTGTTGTCCACGAGGACAGAGTAGTTCTCCGCACAGATGTGACATTTCTCCCTAAGGTCGTGTCCCCTTTCCATGTCAATGAGGACATTGTTCTTCCCTCCTTGTGTCAATCCCCCTCGACCCCGAGGGAAAAGAGACTTCATATGCTCGATGTGCGGAGAGCATTGCTGTGTTATAGGGACAGGACTGCCCGGTCTAGGCGGTCGCAGAGACTTTTTGTAGCATATGCTCCTGATAAGGTGGGCCTGCCGATCACGGCCCAACGTTTGTCCCACTGGATTACCTCGACCATCGAGCTCTGCTATCAACTGGCTCGACGACAACCACCCTTGGTCGTCCGGGCTCGGTCGACCAGGGCTATGGCGGCTTCGACAGCTTTCCTAAAGGGGATTCCCCTGGACGCTATTTGCAAAGCGGCCATTTGGAAAAATCCCCAGACATTCGTGTCACACTATAGGTTGAACACCAGGTTTACACCTGACATGGCCTTTGGGAGGGCGGTTCTAGACTCAGATCCGCCTTAAGTCCCTGGACGGAGTGTGTTATAGGTACCGACTTGTTTCGTCGATAACTTGTGTTACTGGAAATGTTGATTACCATGTTTATTACTTGAATTTTTTTTCTCGTTACGGGGAATAAAGTTGCACCTTTACACTTGATGCCTTACTGCCTGAGGCACAGGCAGCCATTACAAGGTGGCCTATAATGGGCCCATTACGGGTATTCTGTGCCATTATCGATGTTATTTGCCTTACTAATGTGTTATATTCTGTCGGTAATTGTTGCTGAATTACTAAGATGGTGCCCTCATTATTGTGAGTGTCTTCGGTAATTACCATGTGCTTTATTTTCAAGGGTCATAAGTTTACTCAATTGTTGGTCACCTTTCAGTGGCCGGGAGGATCACGTACTCCCATAAGTTCATGCACTGTGCCCTTCTTTGGAAGTGATTGCAACCTCTTGTTATGCATTATGCCCTTCTTCGGAAGTGATTACAATCTCTTGTTCATGACTGTTTTTTTGCACTTAATAAAATTGTTTGGCCCTTGATTTCATTGGTCGGTTTGCTTACTTCCCGCCTCCGGGACCTGAGCTTGCTAGTCTCCACAAGTGTGCATTCGCAGAGACCACGAAGAAAAATGGTAGGTTACATACCTGTGACCATCTTTCTTCGAGTGGTGCTCTGCGAATTCACACTAACCCGCCCAGCCCCCCCGCAAGCAAACCTCCAATTTCTCGCTACCGTAGCGGCGTAGGAATTGGATCGGGTGCGCGGGGCGCCCTTTTATCCCCTGCCGGGGCTGGGCGGGGTTACCGCCAAAACTTGAAAAGTTTAAAATATAGAAGTTTCCGTTGGAGCCCGCGCAGGCGCAGTCTCTCCACAAGTGTGAATTCGCAGAGCACCACTCGAAGAAAGATGGTCACAGGTATGTAACCTACCATTTAACCCACTCATGTCAAGCACAATGATTTATCTGTGTGTGTTTATACTAAATTTGATTTTAAAATTCAGCATGGTTTACAAAATTAACAAAATCCAATCAATTATGGGAACTATAAGATAAAAAACACAGTCAATAAATAACATATAAATATATAATGGTTGACATGACTGACATTATGGCTGACATCTAAAACACATAAGAAGAGCTTCACAGCCAAAGAGACGGTCAAGGAACAGATATAGAAAATGAAGCGGGATAGCATTCAATCATATTTTTTAAATAATGAGCTCAATCATGCTAGAACATGAATGTAACCAGTTATTAGTAACTAATCCCTTCCCAGCAAGTAAAGAATAACTTCACGTGGAACAACAGCATGATTTTTTTGATCCAATTCCCACTTTTTAATCACTTTTATCATAATATGGATGAAAGGCTCTCTAATGCCTATCACATGGTTTAAGCCAGGGGTCCCCAAACTTTTTGAACAGAGGGCCGGGTCACAGTCCCGCAAACTGTTGGAGGGCCGGATTATAATTTGAAAAAAAAAAGAATGAATTCCTATGCACTCTGCACATATATTATTTGCAGTGCACCCCCCCCCCCCCATCAAAAAACAAAAACCCACACTTCTATATAAATAAAAACGTAATGTTCGTTTGTGGGATTAACAGAACTCAAAAACCACTGGACAAATTGACATCAATTTTGGACACAAGACACCTAACAACCCAATGTATGTCCTTCACACAAAAAATTGATTTTGTCATTTGTGAGTTGTAGTTGCTGGGATTTATAGTTCAACTACAATCACAGAGCATTTTGAACCCCACCAATGATGGAATTGAACCAAACTTGGCACACATTTCTCCCATGACCAACTGAAAATACTGGAAGGGTTTGGTGGGCAGTGTCCTTTCGTTTTGGAGTTGTAGTTCACCTACATTCAGAGATCATTGTGGACTCAAACAATGATGGATCGGGATCAAACTTGGCACAAATACTCAATATGCCCAAATGTGAACACTGGTGGGGTTTGGGGAAAATAGAATCTTGACATTTGGGAGTTGTAGTTGCTGGGATTTATAGTTCACCTACAATCAAAGAGCATTCTGAACCCCAACGATGGAATTGAACCAAACTTGGCACACAGTTCTCCCATGACCAACAGAAAATACTGGAAGGGTTTGGTGGGCAGTGTCCTTTGGTTTTGGAGTTGTAGTTCACCTGCCTCCATAAATCACTGTGGACTCAATGATAGATCTGGACCAAACTTGGCACTGATACTCAATATGTCCAAATGTGAACACTGGTGGCGTTTGGGGGTTGTATTTGCTGGGATTTATAGTTCAATCAAAGAGCATTCTGAACTCCACCAATGATGGAATTGAACCAGTCTTGGTACACAGAACTCCCATGAACAACAGAAAATACTGGGTTTAGTGGGCATTGACCTTGAGTTTTGGAGTTGTAGTTCACCTGCCTTCACCACGCCGGCATTCCCTGGCCATGCCCACCCAGTGCCGCTCCGTCGATTGCGGACACCCTCTGCTCCAGCCGCTCTGCTCTGCAGAGGACCCAGCTGGGAGGCTTCTCCTTCCCACACAGGCAGAGCGGCCGGAGCAGAGGGTGTCCACAATTGGTGGAGTGGCGCTGGGTGGGCGTGGCCAGGCCAGGCCAGGCCGCGCGGGCCGGAGAAATGCCCTCGGCGGGCCGCATATGGCCCACGGGGCGTAGTTTGGGGACCCCTGGTTAAAGCGTTTGCTCAGTTGTGGGTGGTGAGGCAACAACAATTTTGTCATTGACTTGCAGAACTCAGATTTTTAAAACTATTATAAAGGAAAAAATTTAAGTACTTTGAAAAATTAGGGAACAAAAAAGGGTTGCATTTTAAAATGAGAATATAACTGGCTACTATGGCATCACTAGAGGGAGGGAGCTCTAACTAATGACTAATTAAGAATAACTGCTCAAATTCAGGTTGGTGTGAAGTGCATCTGGGTGAAATTGTTATATATCCAGAAAGTTCATTCCCTTTATCATGCTGTATTCCTTGTGGCATTTTCAATTATGCTACTTGCCATGGGAAGTGGTTTCATAGCAAATATATAAAGTACTAAGATACTCACAGTGTCAAATTGCCCATCTCGGAAAAACACTGGTGCGGCAACAGGTTGGGCAGCAGGAGTTGGTGGCGTTACAGTTATGTCACTAGAGGGATCCCTGGCAACCACCATCTTAACACAGTTTCCGCAGTTTCTCAAGACTTGAGCAACCTGTTCGCTAGTCATTCCTTGGACATTAGTCCCACCAATTTCCAAGATGTGATCACCGGTTCTGAGTCTGCCATCCTTTATGAATGCAATATAGTTTTACAATTATAAATTAACAATTGCAATACATTTAATATTTTTACCAAATTACAATGAGATAACATGTCATCAAATCAAAAACAATGCAGTAGTAAAAGTTATTCAGAGGCAGGAATCAAACATATATTTCCTTTTAAAATATATTAGAAAATTAACCTAAAACTGGTTTGGAATATTAGATCCCCATTAAGTCACAATGGAAAATACCAAATTTTGAGGGCTTTCATTTTCTAGAAAATTACATGGGTTTTGATACAGTGCTTTAACATAAGACAGTTTTATAACCAAAACAGATTCACTTCAATGGTAAAACCCATAGCACACTCACAGCAGAGCCAATTAAGCCATTAAAGCCATATCATGTCAACAGATTTACTCCTATAATGGCTACTTTGCATGTGCTCCTATAGAAGTCTAGAAAGTTTAATTTAAAAAATCAATCCCAAAATTCAACTATGCATAGGTCAATGTAAGTACTGTGCCTTAACTCATATTTAAAAAGGAACCATCCTCTTCTTTGAGTAGAGAGTAGTGAAAGGCAAGAGCTTAGTCTGCCTGGGAGAACCTAAAAGAAGCATCAAGTGTTTTATGTTTTTGTTTTCCCCCCTCTCGGCTGTGGTGCCACTTCTGGCTTTTTAAAAATGCCTGGGTGGGAAAATTACAGAGGATCTTTGGTGCTTCCCCCTTAAAGAAGTACTGAGAAGGTAGAGTAAGCTGGGGCTTCTTTTAGGTTATCTTTAGATGGACTAAGCTATCTCCTTTTGCAATTCAACTCGCAGAACTGGATGGATTCCTTTTTTATAAGAGTTAATGCTGTACCTTCACATATATTTTAAAAAGGACTATCCCCATATTCAATTAGAGCAGCAAAAGATCTTTGATGGGAAATTGGCAGTGGATACAACCAGGGGCAGCTGGGCTTCTAAGTGCAACATTACTGTAGTTCTCTCTCTCTGCAGAATAACCCTTGAATTATCCATGAGTCATGTCAGAATCCATAATCTGGACCTCAAAACCTGTCCTTGACTTATACATGAGATTGATTTATACACAAATACACAATATCTCAGAGAACTCAGAAGTTCTTGTACTACAAAGCAGATTATCTCTTGGGAGAAACACTAACGGAAATAAGTCTTCAGACACATGTGTGTGTGTGTGTGTGTGTGATATCTCAGCCATGCATGACAAGTCAACCTTGAATCCACAAATGGATAACAAAATGATTGACATGCATTTAGAATCTCTCAAGTTAACTTTCTGGTTTCTCCCAGGATTGTATTTCTGAAGTGGGACAGATGTTACATTTCAGAGTCCACCTGTGAAATGTGTTCACATAAGTCCACTCATGCATGGGATCGTTACTGAAGTAGGCACTGATTGGAGAACAGCACTTTTGACATTCAACTGCAAGTATAAAGGAACTGCCCATATAAGTGTTTACTTGTATAAGTAAACCCTGCAGAAAGTAATATCTGCACTGGCTCTTGAGTAATTGATTCTTAACATTTTGCCTTGACATTTCCCAACAGTACATCTATTTTATACTGTACCCCTATTCTTGGTCACTCTAGACTGTTATACATTAAGAACGTTTGACATATGATTTTGGATGCCAAAAATTTTGTTCCCTATAGCAAAACAGGTGTTCCAAAGACACGAGTAAAAAAACCATTCATTATACCAGACAATTTTGCAACAATGGAAGAAGAGCCAATATCAGAATTTCAGATCTCTCTAATACTCCAACTTCCATTTATATTATGAATTGGAACATTTCCTATTCTGGACATTAACATTATCTATCTATATCTATATATATAATAAAGGTGAAAGTTTGTATGTGGAGGAGGACAAAAGTGTGGCGGTGTATGTGCTAGCTTTCTGATTGGCTGCCACTGTGGTCTCTGATTGGCCAGCCTGAAATTCCAAGATTCCGATTGGCTGGGCAGCGGTGCTATTTGCATATGGTCTCTGATTGGCCAGCTTCAAGAGGAGCCCCTGGTGGAGAAAAGAGTTCATGACAGAAACGGGGACATGAGAAGGAAATTTGCATATGGTGTCTGATTGGCCAGCCTCAATTCCAAGATTCCGAGATGACAAAGAGAGGAAAGGAAAAGGCCAGAGGGGGCTGAGTCAGAAATTACCAATACAGACCACACTTGGCACACAGAGCCTGCAAGACCGACTCGACATCCTACTGCAACCATGGATGATGGGACTTGCAGTACCATCACTCACATTCTGAGACCGCTGTTAACCTCATCCAATGACTGATCAGGACCAAACTTGGCACATAGACCTCTCATGACCCACTTTACGTCCTGGTGTGGTTTGGCCGGATGGACCATGGATTATGGGACTTGCAGTACCTTTGCTCAATTCCTGAGACCACTGCAACCCTCATCCAATTACCGATAAAGACCAAACTTGGCACACTGAGTCTCCATGATGCACTCTACATCCTGGTGCAGTTTGGAGGAGGATGCACCATGGACGATGGGACTTGCAATACCTGCACTCCCTTCCTAAGACCATTACAACTGCCAACAATGATGGATCAGGACCACAATTTACACAGAGAGCCCGCATAACTCACTCTACATCCTGGTGCGATTAGGAAAAATTTGTCAATGGATGATGGGACTTGCAGTCACTTCACTCACTTCCTGAGACCACTGACTGATCAAGACCAAATTTGGCACACAGAGTCCCCATGACCCACTCTACATCCTGGTGCACTTTCGAGGAGGACAGACCATGGATGATGGGACTTCAAGTACCTTCACTCACTTCCTGAAAATAATGCAGCCATCCAAAGACCAATACAGACCAAACTTGGCATACAGAACCGCCATTACCCACTTTCTCTAATAACCCGGGCAACGCCGGGTCCCCAAGCTAGTATATAATAAAGAAGAGTGTTTGTATCGGACAGAGGAAGGGCGGACGGTGTATGTGCCAGCGTTCTGATTGGCTGCCGCTGTGGTGCTATTTGCATATGGTCTCTGATTGGGCAGCTTCAATACGAGCCCCTGGTGGAGAAGAGGGTTCATGGCAGAAACGGGGCATGACAGAAGGAAATTTGCATATGGTCTCTGATTGGCCAGCCTCAAATCCAACATTCCGAGATGACAAAGAGAGGAAAGGAAAGGCCGGGGGCTGGGTCAGAACACTACCAATACAGACCGAAATAGGCACACAGAGCCCCCATCACCCACTCTACATCCTACTGCAGTTTGGAGGAGCATGAACCATGGATGATGGGACTTGCAGTACCACCACTCACATTCTGAGACCGCTGTTAACCTTATCCAATGACTGATCAGGACCAAACTTCGCACATAGACCTCTCATGACCCACTTTACGTCCTGGTGTGGTTTGGCCGGGGATGGACCGTGGATTATGGGACTTGCAGTACCATTGCTCAATTCTTCAGACCACTGCAACCCTCATCCAATTACCAATAAATACCAAACTTGGCACACTAACTCTCCATGACGCACTCTACATCCAGGTGCAGTTTGAAGGAGGATGCACCATGGACGATGGGACTTGCAATACCTGCACTCCCTTCCTAAGACCATAACAACTGCCAACAATGATGGATCAGGACCACAATTTACACAGAGAGCCAGCATAACTCACTCTACATCCTGGTGCGGTTTGGAAGATGCACCATGGACTATGGGACTTGCAATACCTGCACTCCCTTCCTAAGACCATTACAACTGCCAACAATGATGGATCAGGACCACAATTTACACAGAGACCCAGCATGACCCACTCTACATCCTGGTGCGGTTTGGAAGAATTTGACAATGGATGATGGGACTTGCAGTCACTTCACTCACTTCCTGAGACCACTGAGACCCTCGCCAATGACTCATCAAGACTAAACTTGGCACATGGAGCTTCAAAGACCCACTCTACATCCTGGAGCAGTTTGGAGGACGACAGACCATGGATGATGGGACTTCAAGTACCTCCACTACCCAAGACTGCTGCAAAACTCATCTAATGACCAATCAAGACCAACGTTGGCACACAGAGCCCCCATGACCCACTCTACATCCTGCTGCAGTTTTGGAGAAGGGTGGACCATGGATGATGGAACTTCCAGTACCTTCACTCACATTCTGAGACCTCTGAAAACCTCATCCAATGACGGATCAACACCAAACTTGGCACATAGACCTCTCATGACCCACTTTACGTCCTGGTGTTATTTGGAAAACTTTGGAGATGGATGATGGGACTTGCAGTACCTTTGCTCACTTCCTGAGACCACTGAGACCCTCGCCAATGACGGATCAAGACTACACTTGGCACATGGAGCTCCAATGACCCACTCTACATCCTGGTGCAGTTTGGAGGAGGACAGACCATGGATGATGGGACTTCAAGTACCTCCACTCCCTTCCAAAGATTGCTGCAACCCTCTTCTAATGACCAATCAAGACCACACTTGGCACACAGAGCCCCCATGATCCACTCTACATCCTGCTGCAATTTGAAAGGACTTTGGATGATGGGACTTGCAATACCTTCACTCACTTACTGACACCACTGCCACCCTCATCTAATGACTGATAAAGACCAAACTTGGCACACAGAGCCCCCATGACCCACTCTATATCCTGCTGCTGTTTGTAGGAGGATGGCCCATGGATGATGGGACTTCAAGTACCTTCACTCACTTCCTGAAAATAATGCTGCCATTATCCAAAGACCAATAAAGACCAAACTTGGCATACAGAACCGCCATTACCCACTTTCTCTAATAACCCGGGCAACGCCGGGTCCCCAAGCTAGTTATTAATAAAATAAAACAGGAATTACTTTGTATCTCCAAGGTTAAAGACAACAATTTAATTTAACTTTTCTTTTCTTTACAAATGTGCACATTTTAAAAGTGCCAGATGAGATGTGATATATAAAAGCAAAGAGACTCAGAATTTTTATGAAAATACATCCCTAAAGAGACTTGCATGCCTGAAAAGACACAATTCAAAATGTAGTTCATCTGGAACTTGGGATCAAATTCTGGTATGAAAAAACTATATACCATGGAAAGTGTGAAGAGAAAAAAAAAGAAGGGGGAAGTATGCATATAAACTTATGAAGTGAACACAAATGACAATCCATGGCTGGGCATTACATATAAATGCAGCCTTTGTGTTGCAACCTTCTTGTACTTGTGTATAATGATTAAAATATTGCTTAACCATTAGCCAAAAAATACACACATTTTAGTATGGCCAACCAAGACATATTTGAGACTTATGATGCAGCATGGCATTTAATTACCCTGCTTTTTTACACTGTATTAGATCATATCAGTCATTTTCACCGTTATATGTAGATTCATTGTTCAGCTGTTAACTATTTGGTCACTGTAAATATCCTGTGCAAAACTGCCTTCTGAGAGTGGGTGCAGGATAGGTGATCAGAAAAAGAAGAACTGGAGTGCATAGTAGGTAGAATTTTAGCAGATACTCTTTTACTTGATTCTCAGTTCATTCTATTTGTTGTGGACATCTCTGGCCTTGTGAATGTGACAAGTATGCTATGTACATTGCACATATTGGGGTGGGTAATACATTTGCTAATTGCAGCAGGAAAGAAGAGTGGGAAAATGTAGCTATAGGAAATATTCCATCTCCTTCCCATGCTGTTCCTTCCGCAGTTTAGTGAGGCTGGGCTGAGCTAGACCCAGTAAACTAGGTGAAGTTCCAGTGTACTACATTAAATATCATAATTGTACAGTACAATAACAACCCCATGCCTTTGAAATCCATATTAGTGGTTTCACTCATCTACAACTAGGGGAAAATATCTCTGGGAATTTTTAGGTCCTCTAAGAGATACTATAGTATAATTCCCCTGGAAATTACCAAACGGTTGCATTGAAGGACCTAGAAAATTCTTAAAGTGGATACCTCTTTAGGGGTCTCTAGATTATGCAAGGGTACTCTATGGAAACAGGAACTGGAAGTCAGGTAATGTAATGGCATTCAGTCGTATCTCTGATATTAGTTAAGCCGGGAACATATCCCATGAAGATATGGGGGTCTTATTGTACTTTAAGTTTGTCTTAGAATTGCCAGCAAATCAATTTTATATATATATAAAAACAAATTAACATAGTGTAATCACATTACCTTATCTGCTAGTCCTCCAGGAACAATAGTTCTTACCACTACGCCAATCGATTTTCCTCCTACAATTCCAAAACCTAATCCTGATCCATCATTAATGAGCTCGACATCCTCAATGTGGCCCCAACTGATCTGAAAAAGGGGAAACAAGCATATGTTTATTATGACACATTTGCCAGTAGTCAATTTACACACAACACGTGGAGTTTATGGTCCACATACACAAAAAACAGGCATTTTATCACAATGAATCCATTCTAAAACTCCTTCTTGGTGGCAAGATCATCTGGAATAAGTAGGTCTGCAAAAAAGTGCATGACTTATGGCAGAAATTGTAATGTAATACAGAATACAACAACTAGAAAGCATAGAGTAGTGGGCCATATTTAGTGTGCACACCATATTTGCACGCTGTTGAACTAGGACAGGTATTACTATGTCAGGAACATAGAAAGGTGCCATATATGGTTTACATTGGGAGTTTTATTTGGAGCTCAATGGAAAGACTTGGTGATTTCAAATGTAAAAGGACCAATATAAATTTGAGCTTCATCAGACTTTAACAAACATATTTATTTAAATAAATAAAACAGCAATCAATGACACAAATTCCAACAATGTGATTTAGCAGTGTTCTCCGGGCCGTGAGAACTACTTAAACATGAAGAAAGCTTTAGAAACCCTACTGAGAACCTGTGTTTGCATGAGATCAATCTTTCTAGTGCAAATTCTTTAGTGGGAAAAAGCAATTACCATTTTAATCTTTAAAATCCTCACAGTAATAGAAATTAATTGTGCACTAAAAAGTATCAGCAGTTTTTAAAACTACATCAAAACAAAATGCACAATACTAGACCACTATAAAGCTTTATTTCAAAACTATCAATTATTAGGGGGTTTTATTTAAAAAATAACAAACCAGTGCCAATAGAGATACATGACTCTATATCAGGGGTCCCCAAACTACGGCCCGCGGGCCGTATGCGGCCCGCCGAGGGCATTTCTCCGGCCCGCGTGGCATGGCCTGGCCTGGCCACGCCCATCCGGCGCCGCTCCGCTAATTGCGGGAACCCTCTGCTCCGGCCGCTCTGCTCTCTGCGGCCACAGGGCCTCCCACTCCACTCCTAGCCGCTAGGAGTGGAAGCCAGGAAGCCAGGGAAAGGCAGGCTCGGCCAGGGGAAGGGACAGGAAGCGCTGCACCGAAGCCGCGCCGCCTGCCCCTTCCCCCGCCTTCCCCCGGCTTCCTGAAGCCAGGGGAAGGCAGGCTCGGCCCAGGGAAGGAACAGGCAGCGCTGCACCGAAGCTGCGCCGCCTGCACCTTCCCCCGCCTTCCCTCGGCTTCCTGAAACCAGGGGAAGGCAGGCTCCGCCCGGGGAAGCAACAGGCGGCACTGGTCCAAAGCCGCGCCGCCTGCCTCTTCCCTCCGCCTTCCCCTGACTTCAGGAAGCCAGGGGAAGGCAGGCTCGGCCCGGGGGAGGGACAGGCGGCACTACTCCGAAGCCGTGCCACCTGCCTCTTCCCCCCGCCTTCCCCAAGCTTCAGGAAGCCAAGGGAAGGCAGGCTCGCCTTGGGGAAGGGACAGGCGGCGCTGCTCCGAAGCCGCACTGCCTGCCTCTTCCCCCGGCTTCAGGAAGCCAGGGGAAGGCAGGCTCGGCCCGGGGAGGGGACAGGCGGCGCTGCTCCGAAGCCGCGCCGCCTGCCCCTTCCCCCCGCCTTCCCCTGGTTTCCTGAAGGCTCGGCCCGGGGAAGGGACAGGCGGCGCTGCCCCGAAGCTGCGCCGCCTGCCCCTTCCCCTGCCTTCCCCTGCTTTCCCCTTACCTACCTCACGCAGCCCCTTGTGCAAGCCAGACGCTCGCACTAGCCATCCCCTGCCATGCGTTGCTGTGGCCCACATGGCTGTTCTGTGTGGGAGGTTTGGCCCAATTCTATCGTTGGTGGGGTTCAGAATGCTCTGTGATTGTAGGTGAACTATAAATCCCAGCAACTACAACTCCCAAATGTCAAGATTCTATTTTCCCCAAACTCCACCAGTGTTCACATTTGGGCATATTGAGTATTTGTGTAGAGTTTGGTCCAGATCCATCATTGTTTGAGTCCACAGTGCTCTCTGGATGTAGGTGAACTACAACTCCAAAAACAAAGGACACTGCTCACCAAACCCTTCCAGTATTTTCTGTTGGTCATGGGAGAACTGTGTGCCAAATTTGGTTCAATTCCATCCTTGGTGGGGTTCAGAATGCTCTTTGATTGTAGGTGAAATATAAATCTCAGCAACTACAACTCCCAAATGACAAAATCATTTTTTTGAGTGAAGGACATACATTGGGTTGTTAGGTATCCAGTGGATTTTGAGTTCTGTTAATCCCACAAACGAACGTTACATTTTTATTTATATAGATTTATTTCCTATATTTATGTTTTTGTGATTAATCACTATGCTTTATGTTCAGATTGTAACAAAAAAATACATCATGCATATCAGATATTTACATTACGATTCATAACAGTAGCAAAATAAGACATGTGCAGCGTGCATAGGAATTTGGTCACTTTTTAAAAAAAAAAATAGTCCGGCCCTCCAATGGTCTGAGGGACAGTAATCTGGCCCCCTGTTCAAAAAGTTTGGGGACCCCTGCTCTATATTATGTGGAACTCTTGCAATGCAAAGAAAATGAGATGACGGATACAAATCCCCATCAATCATGTGAAACAGAGCTACAGTTGCCACCTGAGGTGGTGTGTTGGCTTGTTCTCCAGACTGTATGTAGTTTCCATAGGGTCCTGCATATAATTCAGCCATTTGGTCCATCAGCATATCCAAATGCCAGATAAAAGGCAGGTTCGTCTGAATGAGAGATGGATATCCTCTCTGGTCTGCTAGGGAACGGGTGCACTTACCGCCTTCACTTCCTCCACTCATGTAGCTGCAAAAGGACCTTTTTGTAACAGATTCCATCTGTTTCTGTTGATATAATATTACTTATGTTGTATCACAACTTTGGGTAGTTTTGGAAAGGCAGTAGATCTAGCCTAGATAGGAAGATGTGATGTGGCTAGTATGCCTGTGATCACCAGTCCAAGGAGAAGCAATTTGTTCAATCTGAGATGATTCCTATACAATACACAGGTCATTGGAGAAACCACATGTACTTTACACCCATGTGGACTCCACTTCCTGTTAACCCAATGTTCTCCAAATAGAACAGCTGGACTGTGCTGGATTGTCAGATGCCTGAATCTGACATCTCATTCTATGCCAAACCTCTATACCTATAACCATAAAAGTTGGGATCTTTTGCACTCCAACAAGGTGCTGATGTACTTTCTTTCCCTGCACTTGGTTCACTATTTATCACTGCAAGGAGTATCATCAACTTAAAATAGGGAAGCACTTTAATATATGATAGTGTTGGAAAATACTTAATAGGCAATATAGGTAAAATTTATTTCATGATATATTTAGATATTTATTTCATCATAATATAAAGCTTTATTTATTTATTTTTAATAATGAGGAGTTAAGGTTTAATTATGGAACAAAGCAGTAAGATAGGTGTAAAATAAGGCCAAAGTGTCCATGTACCCTCTGCCAGTTATTTGGTTTATTTTACCATGCCAGATCACCAAGGAACATGGAAAAACATGTGATATGTTCATGGTTCATAAGGCTATTCATCAAGTAGGAAACTTACAGGGGGGAAACCCAATTTGAAATGATTCCAGAAAGCTCATTAATAAATAACCAAGCATTAGAACAGTATAAAAGAACTCAGGTTTGTAACTGTGAGATACACAAGTCACTCATTCCCATGTACAAATTTGGAAAGTTTTCTGTAACCAGATTTGGTCTCAAGGAGGAATGGTAACCAAGAAAATAGTTGAACTAATTGGACGATACTAGTCATGAAGTGAAATCAAATCATGAAACAACAATCTTCCAAGAGTCTTTCACAGAAGGGCTTACAAAAAGGTCCATATTTTCTATTCTGGAACATAAAGCTTTCCCAGCATTTGTCTTGACTGGGCCATGATACTTAACATCAAGCTTCTAACCTTTATTTCATTTTAAGGGGAGCTGGCTAAAGGGTCTTAAAGTATATTTTCATTTAAACAAATGCAATATTCATGTGAATTTGTGTGACGATTAAGAATATTCTCAAGCAATGATTGAGAGTTTATATTTATTATCATGTTTATTGTGATTATCAATCGATTTATGAATAAAAGATGGACATAGCACAAAATGATTATAGTTTAGTACTGGCAATTAGCATCTCATTAGCGCATACTTGCATATTTACAAGTAGATTATATAATGCTACAGATGGTTTAAGAGCGTGAAAATATTCCACGCTGCTGTTTAATGCTACAGAATTAAATACGGTCAATTGATTTATTGTGTCTATTTCAGGCACTTCACATGATCACCACACATGATGCTGTTCCTGACACGCAAACAAAATATTGTGATTCATGTTTATATCTGGAAATGTCTTTCTACCGCATATTCAGTATGATTTACTTAGCTATGTATGTGGTATGGAGTTAAATTATTCAGTAAAAGTTTTAAAACATGTAAAACCTTTATAACCATTAATACAATTGTAATCCAACTTACCATCGGAGGTAAATTAGCACTGCTTAAGGTGCTTAAGGCTGAGGTCTCACCGCTTCTCTGGGCTGGCTCTCTGGCCACAACCAAATGTAAGGAACCCATGGCTTGTTGGAGCAATGTAATTGCTTGCTGATGAGAAATATTCTGATCCAATGGGGTATGATTAATGGCCAATATTTGGTCTTTTTCCTTTAGCCTTTGATCCCTTCCATAAAACACAGAAGAAAATTTAAAAGTGCTGTAGCTATAACATAATATTTTTCCAAAACAAAGTGGGTGGGTGGGAGGCAGTAGGGGTTGGCTACTACAACAGTGGGTTTGAGTGTCAAGCAGTATCCTTCGCTTACATTTCAACTTCACTATTTGCTCCCTATACGGGCCATATGAAACAAACTAAAAACAGATATACCAGGAGCCTATGTGGTTGATAACAGAGTAACAGATCTTCATGTGGGACACTGTTACAACCCACTTACTAGATGTGCTGTTGTGCTGCAACACACATGCATGTGGCATTCCATTGTTGGGGAAAGTGCACAGAATAGAGAAGTGTTTAGCTATGTTTACACAGCCAGACACAGATGAAGGACAAGATCCACTGGCGTATTCTGGAGGTCTCACCCAGTTATGTCATCAGTCTGCATCTGGCTACAGCCAGATACTTCTCAGATCCCTCCTGGTCAACTCTTTACTAGCTAGAATGGCCATTGAAGGGCAGGAGAATTATAGCAAAATTGAGCAAAGACTTGGATGGTTCCTGATGGTAGAAGAGGATATAAACTTTTGTGATGATAAAAGGGACATATACAGCATGTCTTTCACAGGATGGAAGCCACTGTTTGATTTCAAAAGTTAAGACAGATGAAGCCTGGTTAGTACTTGAGTAGGGGAAACAGCCACGTAACACTAGAGGCCTTCAGACAGAGTTAAAGAGAGCTGCTGCCCATCAGAGTGGACAATACTAAGTTGGATGGATCTATGAATTAACTCATAAGGGTCTCATAAGTACTTAACAGAGTACTTCTCCGCTTATGTATTATTAAAAATAACATCTTACAGTGCTGTTGGATTAGTCAGTTTGTGGGGTTATTTGCATGTTCAGATCCAATAAAAATGTTAAGGTAGGCAATGATATAGAGCTGAACCTCTGAAGGTTGCCTTCCATTAGGAACCTGCTCTCTTCTTGTATCATACTGCTGTGTTGGGGAAGGTTACATAATGTGTGGAAGGTTGGAGTAAATGACACTGACATAAACTAAAGGAGACTCAGCAAAATGATTTCTGCTTTGATTTATCTCTGTGGTTCAAAGATTCGGTGTCTGGAAATTCTGAAAATATCCATGAACAATAAGAAAGGAATCTCATGCTTCACTTGACTGGTGATATTATTATGAATCTTGATCAAACAAGACAAAAATCTCACCTGGCTGCTATACTTCCTGGTTGAACTTCCTTGACAAAGACACCAGATTCTCCAACACTTTGATTTTTAAGAGCAATCACACTAAATCCAAGGCCTCCACTGAATGGTTTCTCGATATCTATATATTCTATTTGCCTGCCCTAATAAGTAGGAAAAATAATATTAAACCCATGTTAAAATCTGTTTTTATGATAAAATCAAAAAGTACAATCAATCTTGATAAAAGTAAATAATTTATATTTCAAAATAATGAAATAAAGATCTTCAAATGCCACAGATTTTTAGAGCTACTTTCACTCTTTGCTCATGTCATGACTATGTGCAGTGTATTGATTTCACTTCATTCAGAAAGGAATCTGAAGACAACAAAAGTCAGACATGTAGCACAAGGTGCTGTTTTTTCTCAAAGTAAAAACAACACAGAGGTGTTACAACCTATCAACTGTCCAGAGCAGAAAGATAAATTCAGAGGAATGACATTCAAACTGATTCACTGGTCTTTAAGGAATCCCGCCATCCTGCCCCTTCACCTACCACATTCTGACCGTAATAGAAGCTTTACATGACAAGGTTCCTCCTCAAAGAGACTGGACTACGGATGCCTTTGTTCCTTAAGCAATTGGAACATCCCATGCTATCAGACACCCCAGTAAATCTATGCCAAAATCATTATAACCAGAAGTTCAATGTAATACAAGTCCTGTTCAGGTTTTTCTAAATTGCATCCTTGAAGGAATTGCACATTCTTCTACTTTTCCATGTTAGATAGGAAGAGCTAAAGACAGATTACAACTGCACTGAGTTGAATCTCTTATCTGAAGAGAGGTTATAGTTACAGGATACTGTTGCTCCACTCTTTCTGACATGTCACACAGTGAGAACAAAATTATATGTTTAACACGCTGATCGTGTTGAGTCTTTACCTTTGCCATTCCTTGAATTATCAAATGAAAATCATCCATTCCAAGTTTTGGAATCCCAGGAGCCAACAGATTATTATTGTTGGAAGTCACATAGCGGTTCCCATTAGCAAGAGACTGGCGGTCTGTGTCAAACACCAGCAAACCTCTTCTGGTGAAATCAAAATCCACTGAATGATTGGGAGGCAAATAAGTCAACTGCGGATAGCAAGGGGAGACAATCACACAAAGCTGTGTAACTGTGCAAGAAATGGCAATAGCAAAAACAACTCTTCAATGTAGATAGATGTTTTAGCAAAAATAAATGACAGCAGCTTGTGCTACATGGTTGAACATTGGCATTACTTATCTAACATACAACATAAATCAATTGGCAATGGAACAAGTAACAACACTGATGGTTTATTATTTATCACAGGGACAGGCAAATGTAAGAACTCTGTAAACAAATACTTATTCTTTACAAGATATTGAAAGTAACAAGTTACTGCAACATGTTTCTTTTGGAAAAACAGCAATATCACAAAATTATATCTGCAATGTATCAAATTTGGGTTATTTTGTTTACTGAGTATAAATACAACAGTTTGTGGTTATATTCAGACTCACTTTGCAGGGTATTCTATGACAAGTAATAGAAACAGCTTACCTTTAAAACACTGTAATGAGTTTTGGAACTTTTCAATTTTAGTTCTTGACATAGAATATGCTTTACCTTTTATATGTTTCTTTTGCAGCCCTTTATTCACACACATTTCATTTTGTCCTCTTTGTTTTCCTAAGGCAGGGGTCCCCAAACTAAGGCAGGGGCCAAATATGGCCCTCGAAGGTCATTTACCCGGCCCTCACAAAGAGTCGACCTAAGTCTAAAATGACTTGAAAGCACACAACAACAACAAACCAATCTCATCAGCCAAAAGCAGGTCCACACTTCCCATTGAAATACTAATATGTTTATATTTGTTAAAATTGTTCTTTGTTTTAATTATTGTATTGTTTTTAAGCATTTTTTTGCACTAAAATAAAGATATGTGCAATATGCATAGGAATCCATTCATTTTATTTTTCAAATTATAATCCAGCTCTCCAACAGTTTGAGGGACGGTGACCTGGCCCTCTGTTTAATAAGTTTGCGGACCCCTATCCTATGGCATGTCAGCTTTACACTTACAAAACAGAGTATTTTACCCATTTCTCTAACCTATGCCATGCAATTCAACAAAATCAGGTATTATATGGATTGGACTGCATCAGGAAGAGATACACATTTTAATAATTGTGCGATGAGAAACTGCAAGGTACACATTGCAAATCAAAATACTTGGAGTTAAAAAAAATGTTCGTTTTTTCACCATATTTCTTTCAGGCCATATTAAGTATGGCAAATGATCTTTTTTTTAAAAAAAAAGGAAGAAAATCGTAAGTGATACGCAGTGAGCTCCATAGGTCATTTGAGACTTCAACCTAATCTCCAAAGCATTGTTTATTTATTTATTCATTAATTTATTTAGACTGCACATTTCCCCCCAAAATAGACTATTTCCAGTGTTCTAACCTGTACACTGGACTGGAGATGATACCATAAGGTTGCTTTCTTACAGAAAGCGGAGCTGTCATTTTGTCTTAATGGGCCATATCAAAAGTAGTCATTTACTTGTGGATCACAGCTGTCATTAACATAACCTAATGTGTTAAATCAATGTCACTAACACAGCCTAAAGTATACAGATGATCTTGGTCTAGAGCAGGGGTCCTCAAACTAAGGCCCAGGGGCCGGATGCGGCCCTCCAAGGTCATTTACCCGGCCCTCGTTCAGGATCAACCTAAGTCTGAAATGACTTGCAAGCACACAATAACAACAATCATATCTCATCAGCCAAAAGTAGGCCCACACTTCCCATTGAAATACTAATTTTATTTTTGTTGAAATTGTTCTTCATTTTAATTATTGTATTGTTTTAAAGTGTTTTTGCACTACAAATAAGATATGTGCAGTGTGCATAGGAATTCATTCATGTTTTTTTCAATTATAATCAGGCCCTCCAACAGTTTGAAGGATGTGACCTGTCCCTCTGTTTAAAAAGTTTGAGGACCCCTGGTCTAGAGAATCCAAAAACAGCAATTAATTTGAAAATGTTCACCTTTGCCTTTTATGGTTGGTATTATATAACCTCAATTGCAACAAATATAATAGTAATGCAGGAAGTAATATGATCAATAATTGCTATTGTTATCATGAGAATGACAGAAGATGGAAATGCCAAAATGTCTTAAGGTGCAATAGTGCCAGCAATGTGTACTTCAACAGTTTGCCCCTCAAACAAACACTTAATACTTCTCATTTTGTAACTTACCTGTTCCTTCAGCTGCTTGATTGATTGCTGAAGAGTCAGCATGTGATTGAATAAGGGATTCTTGAGTGTATTATACAGAAAAGCCAGATTTTCACTGTGTGAAGTGTCTCCTCTCTCATGAAGTTTCATTAGCAGACGCTCCAGGATCTGCAGCACCTGCTGCTTATCTGTTGGATCCCCAAAACATCACAGATGAAAAAGCTGCTTAATACTACTTGATTTAGATAATGTGATTGTTTTTAAAGGCACCTACCTGCAACGGGATTTTCTGGCATGATGGCTTATTGTGCTGCTGATGTCAAAAGAATCTGGGTTTTAAAGGAAAAGTATGAATTAGGTCTGGCATTTCAACATTCTCCTTTGTAGAACAGAATTGGGAAACATGAATACATATGCACTCTTTCTAGATCTACAGATGCTACATATTTCACAGGCAAACACAATGTGATTGTGAAAGATAGGATATAGAACTATCGTATTTCACTGAGTAATTGTTGCCAAGTTTAATAGTCACAACCCACTTTCTGGCTTTCCAAATAGGTATTTTTTGCTTTCTTTGAGTAATAGTCACACCCTTGATTCCTCACTCCTAAGTATCCACTTCATTTGCTCCCTGCCTTCCACTTGCCCACTTTTGGACTCAGTCAAGTGAAGCACTGTTGCTGGAAAAGGGTGCATTTTTTTTCATCGCACAATAGTTACACTCCCCTTTTCCAGCCCCCCAAAAGGGATTAAAAGAGTGAAGACATGACTATTCAATGATAAAATATGGTACTGTGGTCTACAGAGTTTTCCCCATACTTACCAGGAGTGTGATTATTTTAAATGGCCAAGAATGATTTCAGCTCAATTAATAACACTGCATGAAAGAAACACCTCTCTGGGAATTTCAAGGTCCTTCATGGTCAGATGAAAGCTTACCACAGAATCGTACTGGAGTAGAGATTCCTAGAGATATTCTCCTTAGAAATCTCTAGATCCTTCCTCCAGAACGTAACCACAGAGTCACACTGAAGGATTTAGAACAGTTGTTCCATTCTTCTTCTTCTTTTTTTGCCTACCGCCACCTTTTCAAAACAAAAAAATTACCCAGCACCCCACTGGAACCGTCATTAAGTGAACCAACAGAAAAATGCAGAAACAAATGTGCATTGTTTCATGTATCTATATTTCTAGCTATGTCCTACAATATAGTAAAGTTTTTTTTGTTTTTTTGTTGTTATTATAATAGCATCCACTACATTTATTTATTTATTTGCCTTATTTATATCCTTCCTTTCTGTACCCTGGGGAGAGACTCAAGGCAGCTTACAAATGGCACCTACACAGTGCCTCAAAACATACAAAATTCACCTAAAAATGTTTTGTGCAAATGACGGCAAAAGGCAAACAAACCAAAATACTAATGAAACTAATAAACGGGGTTTTGTTCTTTGTTCTGCATTAGATATTTGATATTAAACTGCCAAAAATCAAATTAATTTATCAAGTAGCAGCATTACATGCACATATTCCTGCTGATGCATGCTGGACTTCCTGATAATGCTGTTCATTCTCACCTGTCAACACTTACATGTTAAAATCTATCAGTGGACTTGACCTTTGATAGGTGATAACTGGCACTATTTTGGAAAATAATCACTTTATTGTGTAACATGAGCTATATTGCACAACGTAGGGAACATGAAAGAAGCTTTCCCCAAGGATGGTAAAACAGCAAACATCCAGGCGTTCCCTGGGCAACGTCCTTGCAGATGGCCAATTCTCTCACACCAGAAGTGACTTGCAGTTTCTCAAGTCGCTCCTGACATACACACACCAAAGGAAACATTTACAAATGGGTTTTCGAAATTCTCTTATCTCCATTCTTTGTGCTTCCATTGCCCCCTTATTTTTATTCAATGCCACCAATTATGCCCTGGGCTACTACTGCCCCCTTGGAGGCTTCCAGTGACCCCAGGGGGAAATATCACCCACTTTGGAAAACACTGATCTAGAGATCCCTAGTGGGATCGTTTTAATCAAATCAGTCCATAATCAAATCTGCAAAAGTCAAACCCGCAAATGTAAAAGGTTGACTGTACTATGCCCCACAGTAACAACAATCACTTTATGAGAACAACATGTACATTAAGAGGTTGTACTTTGTCCTTCCAGCCAACCTTGGAAAAAAAGTCTTCTTCATCCTCTAAATAAATGTGTTAGGATTGCACTATGGGAGTTTAGGTCCCACCAAGTTCAGTGGGATTTACTCAAGTAAGTCTGTTTAGAATTGCAGCCCTAATTATTATTAAGTTGTGGAGATCAAACTTTAGCAAGCTCCACTAATTAGTAGAATGGTCCTTTGCGCTCAAAATCACTCCAATCCAACATACACTTAATTGGAAGCAAACGCTACAGAATGAGAGTCTACTTTCTTTAGATCCTTGCAGAATCTTTTAGTTACAGAAGTAGGCCATGGCACCATTCATAACTAACGTACGTTCAATTTATTTTAATGGTATTCACAGAATGTCCCTGAACATATTTGTTCAGAAGTTTCATCAGAGCTAGTCTATGAGGTCATACATTTTTTCACTAGAAGAGAACCACTTGAGACATCACCCAACCCTTCTAAATCCAAGTATGATGATATGTTTCATCGGATTGTAATGTATTACTGAAGCATACCCACAGAATGTATTACTGGAGCATACCACTCACTCAATTGCATTTGGTGGGAATACGAGAGTGGGCTGCTCTGGAATTTTATTTTCACTGTTTTTAACCTAAATCCACACAGTACTATTTAATTGGATTTCTTTTTTAATTTTTTATATTCACTGTTTTAAACTGTGACCAAACTGTGTGGTTGTTAGCTACCTTGAGTCCTCACAGAGGCGGGATGTAAATAAATAAAATAGGTGAGCATCTAAGCACAAACACACACTCACACACACACCAGCCTCCAGTAAGCTACAGAGGGGAAAAAAGATAAGGAAGTAGCAGTTGTGATAAGTCAGGGGTAAGGGCTGGGAAATACTACCAAAGTGCTGGCCGACTGAGAATAACAACAATGATGTTGGTTGGCTGAGAATAACAACAATGATGCCAATTGTGATGCTAAATGTTATGTTGCTGAGTGCCTTCAAGTGGTTTCTCACTTATAGGTAAAGGTAAAGGTAGTCCCCTGACATTAAGTCCAGTCATGTCTGACTCTGGGGTAGTGGTGCTCATCTCCATTTCTAAGCCGAAGAGCCAGCATTGTCCATAGACACCTCCAAGGTCATGTGGCCGGCATGACTGCATGGAGCGCCGTTACCTTCCCGCCGGAGCGGTACCTATTGATCTACTCACATTTGCATGTTTTCGAACTACTAGGTTGGCAGAAGCTAGGGCTGACAGCGGAAGCTCACGCCGCTCCCCGGAATTGAACCTGCGACCTTTCAATCAACAAGCTCAGCAGCTCAGTGCTTTAACCCACTGCGCCACCGGGAGCTCCTTCTTTCTCACTTATGGTAACCCTAAAACAAGTCTATCACAGGGGGATCTTCTACACAGCCCTATATCTCAGAATATCAAGGCAGAAAATCCCACATTATCTGAGTGTGGACTCAGATAACCCAGTTCAATGCAAATATCGCCGGATTTTCTGCCTTGATATTCTGAGATATAGGGCTATGTGGAAGGGACCAGGGTTTCTTGCCAAAATTAGTTCAAAAAAAGGCTGGGGCAAAGAGAGCACGACTTTCTGAAGGGCAGGCAGGGGGCTTCCATGGTTGAGCAGAGACTCAGACCCTGGTCTGTTATATCATGCTGGCCCTCAACAAAGTGGGTGCTTGGGGGGGGGGGGCTTGAGGGGCTTCAGCACCCTCCCCCCCCCGAAATTCTCATGGTAGCCCGCGAGAAGGCCTTACTGGTACATTATTTAACCTCTGAGGAAGCTTGCCATAGATGCAGGCGAAACGTCAGGAGAAATGCCTCTAGAACATGGCCATATAGCCCGAAAAAACCCACAAGAACTGAGGATTATTTAAATTGTTATGTTTATTCATACCATGATCTGATCACCATGCTCAATATATCCCATATGCATGGGGCTATTGGGGTAACGATACAAAAAGTTTGCTAGAGTAGACTCTCTTTCACTCAGACTCACCCCTCCCCCCCCCCACCCGAATCAAACTCGGCCCCCACCGAATCAAAATCTTGGCTACGGGCCTGACATGAACAATATAGAATGTCTCATTCACAGATCTATATTGCAGAGTCCTCTCTTAAATGCATGTTTGTGGCTGATTCTACCAATATTGAAGACCCTGAAATCCTAATCATGTAGCAGTAGAGTTTGATAGGTATTGCATGTTATTTGAAATCCCTGAAAACACCCGGCACTTCCTCGGCCTCCCTCTACCTAGGGTCCTTCTGCACAGCCATATAACCCAAGGCCCTTCGACACAGCCCTATATCCCAGAATATCAAGGCAGGAAACCCCACATTATCTGAGTGTGGACTCAGATAACCCAGTTCAACACCGATATTGTGGGATTTTCTGCCTTGATATTCTGGGATATAGGGCTATGTGGAAGGACCTCCAGACTATCAAGGCAGAAAATCCCACAATATCTGCTTTGAACTGGGTTATCTGAGTCCACACTGCTATATATTCCAATTCAATGCAGAAAATTTGGGATTTTATTCAGCTGTGGGGAAGGGGCCCAGAGCACTGTGGGTCTTGACCCAAATAGGGTCCCCTTAGATCAATGCTGGGGTCACAAAACATTTGGCTACAGTGAAAGGTTTCTGAAGGCTACCCATTAACCCAAATCTGTCAACAACAAAGGTGCAATGTTACAGTGGAGTCTTCAGCTGTATTCCACAAAAAGAAACTCTGCCTGGCAAATGTTGGTTTAATATATTGTCAAAGGCTTCCATGGCTGGAATCACTGGGTTGTTGTAGGTTTTTCAGGCTGTATGGCCATGTTCTACTTTATTTATTAATTTATTTATTTACAACATTTATATGCCGCCCTTCTCACCCCAAAGGGGACTCAGAGCAGCTTACAATATATTATATTTTTAGCATCAGTATTATATATTACTATATTGTACTATACCATGATATTGTAATATTACATGCAATATAAAATATATAATTATAATGTATTATTAGTAGTAGAATTCATAGTATTATATTGTATTACATTATATACGGCTCTCCATACAGTCATGTCGGCCACATGACCTTGCAGGTGTCTACGGATAACGCCGGCTCTTCGGCTTAGAAATGGAGATGAGCACCACACCCGAGTCAGAATCGACTGGACTTAATGTCAGGGGAAAACCTTTACCTTTACTACAATATATTATATTATTGGAAGCATTCTCTCCTGACGTTTCGCCTGCATCTTTGGCAATGGTTCTCATCCTTCCTAATGTCGCGACCCCTTAAAACAGTTCCTCATGTTGTGGTGACCCCCAATCATAACATTATTTTAGTTGCTACTTCATAATTGTAATTCAGCTACTGTTATGAATTGTAAAGTAAATATCTGATATGTAGGATGTACTGTATTGTCATTCATGGACCAAATTTACCACAAAACTCGATATGCCCAAATTTGAATACTGGTGGGGTTGGACAGGGGCTTATTTTGTCATTTGGGAGTTGTAGTTGCTGGGATTTATAGTTCATGTACAATCAAAGAATATTCTGAACTCCACCAATGATGGAATTGAACCAAACCAGGGACACAGAACTCCCATGACCAACAGAAAATACTGGAAGGGTTTGGTGGACTCTGACCTTGAGTTTGGGAGTTGTAGTTCACTTACATCCACAGAGCACTAGTGGATTCCAACAATGATGGATCTGGACCAAACTTGGCATGAATCCTCAATATGCCCCAATGTGAACACTGGTGGAGTCTGGGGGAAATAGATCTTGACATTTGTGAGTTGTAGTTGCTGGGATTTATAGCTCACCTACCATCAAAACGCATTCTAAACCCCACCAATGATAGAATTGGGCCAAACTTCCCACAAAGAATCCCCATGACCAAGAGAAAAAATACTGTGTTTTCTGACTGTCTTTGGTGACCCCTCTGATATCCCCTCGCGACCCCTCCCCCAGGGGTCCCAACCCCAAGTTTCAGAAACACTGATTTACTGACAATAAATGCTGGTTTATTGTCAGTAAATCATGTTTTTATTATGTGTTTTTAATGTTTTGTGCTTCATGTTTAAATGCCCTGCTATCTTATGGTAAATTTGTCCTATTTTATGAATGCTTTTTGGTTTATGTATGCAAGGCATTGAATGTTGCTATTGTTTTTTGTAACCCCCCCCCCCCAGGGGTGAGAAAAGAGGTAAATAAATACTGTAGATAAATAAATGTTTGATTTTTATACCTATAGACCAGGGGAATACATCCAAATGTATCAGGCAGCAAAGGGTCAGGAGTGGGCCAAGTTCTAAGCAGCAGCTCTGGTCTAAAGTTCCTAGGCGGCGGCTTCACAAACAAGCTGTTCCCTTTGGCCAGATTTGCAAAACCAGCCCTGGCTGAAGCCGTCCAGTTGGTGGCTGGAAACTTGCAGTCCAAACGAGGATTCAGGTCTGGGTAGTTTTGCTACGCGTGGGAGGATCTCGGGGCTAAAAAAAGCAAAGCCGCAAACTCCGAAGGCCAGCGAGCTTGGACGCCCCTGCCAAGAGTTTGGCAAAGCAAAAGTGGGGCGGCATTCCACGCAACGTAAACGCGCCAGGAAGCAGAGGGAGGGCGTCGTGGCAGTGCCCAAGATCAGCTGGAGAAGGCTGGCTGCCCAGGGTGCCCCTTTTGCCCCCTCCATGGCCCCACTCGAAGGCTCAAGCCTCCTTTTTCCTTACCTGATCCCCGAGAAGGGGAGGGAGAGAGCAAGCGAGGGTCTCTTCCTCGTTTGCCTTTGCCTCCTCCCAGGTCTTGGCTGGCTCTCACCTGGGCGGAAGCCGGAGTCTGGAGTTGAGCCGCACCTCACCTGCCACACAGGAAGCCGACGCAAAGGGGAGTCGCTCCGGAGCGAAAGGAAGCCGAGCCCAGGACTCAGGGAAGGGAGCTTTGGGAGGAGAGGCGCTCCCGTGGAAGCCAAGGACTCCTGCGAGGAAAACACTTCCTTGTCGAACAAGGAGAAGCTTAGAAAGACTTGCCAGGCAGCAGCAGGCAGAGGCACGCAGGACTCTGATTTGTGTGTGTGTGCCTTCAAGTCGGGTGCCCACTTAGAGCCACTCCATTTCTCAGGCTGGGTTTACACGCCCTATGTCCCAGGATCTGATCTCAGAGTATCTGCTTAGAACTGGATTATATAATAATCTGGGATCAGATCTTGGGATATAAGCAGTGTAGATCCAGCCTCAGAGGTGACTTGACCAGTTCTTTCCTCTGAAATACAAGCTACAATGTTCGTTGGTCTCCCATCCAAGGGCTAACCAGGGCTTACCTTCCAAGATAAGAGGAGATCCAGTGCCCTTGTGGGGGCGAATGGCAACCAGACCAAAATTGAAAGAGAAAATAGAGTGAAAAGGAAGGAAGGGTGAATCCAAAGAGAGAAACCAGAGTCTACATGTGGACAAGTCTACAGGGATCACCAAATGCATTCAGGAATCAAGGAACATGAAAGGCTCTGCGGTCTGGAGAACAAGCCCTATGAGGAGCGGCTTAAGGAGCTGGGCATGATTAGCCTGAAGAAGAGAAGGCTGAGAGGAGATATGATAGCCATCCATGTATAAATATGTGAGAGGAAGCCACAGGGAGGAGGGAGCAAGCTCGTTTTCTTCTGCCATGGAGACTAGGACGCAGAACAATGGCTTCAAACTACAAGAAAGAAGATTCCATCTGAACATGAGGAAGAACTTCCTGACTGTGAGAGCTGTTCAGCAGTGGAACTCTCTGCCCCGGAGTGTGGTGGAGGCTCCTTCTTTGGAAGCTTTTAAACAGAGGCTGGATGGCCATCTGTCAGGGGTGATTTGAATGAAATATTCCTGTTTCTTGGTAGGGGGTTGGACTGGATGGCCCATGAGGTCTCTTCCAACTCTTTGATTCTATGATTCTATTACTACTTCAACCAGAGAAGTCAGCCATAGTAGAGCACCTGATGAACCAACCTGGACACAGCATATTATTTGAGAACATAGAAATGCTGGACCACTCTAACAACCACCATGTCAGGCTACACAGAGAAGCCACTGAAATCCATAAGCATGTGGATAATTTCAACAGAAAGAAGAAACCATGAAAATGAACAAAATCTGCCTGCCAGTATTTAAAAACTCTAAAATTACAACAGCAAAACAACAGAGAGGAAACAATCAGGGACAGCTAATCACCGCTCAACAAAAGATTCCCTCAGGCACTAACAAGCCACACCAAAAAACTGCCAGGCCATCAAATGCTAATCAGGGTGGTCAGTTGAACATTCACACCTAGCTCCAACAGACAAGAGTCCTTTGTCCCACCCTGGTTATTCCACAGATACATAAACCCAATTTTCCTAGTTCCAACAGACCTCACTATCTCTAAGGATGCTTGCCATATATGCAGGCGAAACGTCAGGAGAGAATGCCTCTAGAGCATGGCCATATAACCCGAAAAAACCTACAACAACACAGAGTCGCCTTTTTTCCCAAGAACTGGTCAAGTCACCTCTGAGGCTGGATCTACACTTCTTATATCCCAGGATCTGATCCCAGATTATCATATAATCTAATCCAAAGGAGATACTCTGGAATCAAAACCTGGGCTATAGGGCAGTGTAGATCCAGCCTGAGAAATGAAGTCACTCTAAATGGGCAGCCGACTCAGAGTCCTCAGGAAGAGAAGCTGGTTGGTTTAGTCGCTTTGTTTGTGAAATCAGCAATGGGCTAAACGAAACTTGAAGATGTTCACAAATTATGAGTCAGTGTGAAATCGTTGGGCATCTATTTTTAAAATTATTTATTATCTATTTGTTTTATTTCAGCCCTGCCTTTCTCCCAACCTAGCATGCAAAGCAGTTATAGCACTATTCCTACGAAGAAGGAAAGGGAAGGGGGGGGGGATAAAAGGAATGTGGCAGCACTCCACACAGCTATATAAAATCCACATTGAACTGGATTATATGGCAGTGTAGACTCAGATAATAAAGTTCAAAGCAGATATTGTGGATTAACTGCCTTGAATTCTGGGTTATATGGCTGTATGGAAGGGCCCTGGGGCCCCACCTATACAGCTGTATAAAATCCACACTATCTGCTTTGAACTGAACTATATGGCAGTGTAGACTAAGGGCCCTTCCACACAGCCATATAACCCAGAATATCAAGGCAGAAAATCTCACAATATCTGCTTTGAACTGAGGGCCCTTCCACACAGCCCTATATTCCAGAATATCAAGGCAGGAAACCCCACACTATCTGAGTGTGGACTCAGATAAGCCAGTTCAAAGCAGTAATTGTGAATTTTTTGCCTGGATATTCTGGGATATCTGAGTCCACACTGTGGGATTTTATTCAACTGTGTGGAAGGGGCCTAAAATAATCCAGTTAAAATCAGATAATGTAGATTTTCTGCTTTGATAACTTTGATTATCTGGCACTGTAGAAGGGGCCTGAGGCTGGATCTACACTGCCCTATATCCCAGGATCTGGTCCCAGATTATCTGCTTTGAACTGGATTATATGAGTCTACACTTACAGATAATCTGGGATAAGAAGATAATCTGGAATCAGATCCTGGAATATAGGGCAGTGTAGATCCAGCCTCAGTCCCCTTGTACACTGCCATGTGATCCAAATTATCAAAGTAGATAATCCACATCATCTGCTTTAAACTGGACTAAATGAGTCTACACTGCCATATAATGAAGTTCAAAGCAAATAATCTGTATTTTATATGGCAGTGTAGAAGAGACCTGGCTGGGTTTTTAATTTTAGGATGAGCTTATGTAAATGTGGCATGGAGGGGGGAGGGTGTGAAGAAACCATCACTAGATCCCACTAAATGTGACAACTTTCGGCCGGTTTCCAAACTCCCCTTTTTGGGCAAAGTCCTGGAAAGCGTGGTGGCCTCACAACTCCAGGTATTCTTGAGAGACACGGATTATCTGGATCGGCACAGTCTGGTTTCAGACCGGGACATGGAACTGAGACAGTCTTGGTCGCCTTAGTGGATGATCTGCGCCAGGAGCTCGACAGGGGGAGTGTGTCCCTGTTGGTGCTTCTGGACCTCTCAGCGGCCTTCGATACCGTCGACCACGGTATCCTTCTGGGGCGCCTTGCGGAAATGGGTCTCGGAGGCACTGTTTTGCAGTGGCTCCGGTCATTTCTGGAGGGTCGTTCCCAGAAGGTGTTATTGGGGGACACCTGTTCATCCCCACAACCATTGTCTTGTGGGGTTCCTCAGGGTTCTATTTTGTCTCCCATGCTGTTTAACATCTACATGAAGCCGCTGGGTGAGATCATCCGAAGTTTCGGGGTACGGTGTCATCTGTACGCAGATGATGTCCAACTCTGTCACTCCTTTCCACCTGCTACTAAGGAGGCTGTCGAGGTCCTGAACCGGTGCTTGGCCGCTGTGACGGTCTGGATGAGGGCGAACAAATTGAAATTGAATCCAGACAAGACAGAGGTACTCCTGGTCAGTCACAAGGCCGAACAGGGTATAGGGTTACAGCCTGTGTTGGATGGGGTCGCACTCCTCTGAAGACACAGGTTCGCAGCTTGGGTGTGACCCTGGATTCGTCGCTGAGCCTGGAGCCCCAGGTCTCAGCGGTGACCAGGGGAGCATTTGCACAGCTCAGGCTCGTGCGCCAGCTGCGCCCATACCTTGGGAAGTCTGACTTGGCCACGGTAGTACACGCTCTGGTCACATCCCGCCTTGACTACTGCAACGCTCTCTACGTGGGGCTGCCCTTGAAGACGGCCCGGAAGCTGCAACTAGTCCAACGCGCGGCAGCCATGATTCTAACAGGAGCGGAGCGCAGGGAGCATACAACCCCCCTGTTGCACCAGCTCCACTGGCTGCCGATTTGCTACCGGGCCCAATTCAAGGTGTTGGTACTGGCCTATAAAGCCCTAAACGGTTCCGGCCCAAGATACCTATCTGACCGCATCTCGGCCTATGAACCCACCCGGACTTTGAGATCTTCTGGGGAGGCCCTGCTCTCGATCCCGCCAGCCTCTCAAGCACGGTTGGCGGGGACGAGAGATAGGGCCTTCTCGGTGGTGGCTCCTCGGCTGTGGAACGCCCTTCCTGTAGATGTTAGGCTGGCACCATCTCTCATGACATTCCGTAGAAAGTTGAAGACCTGGATGTTTGTGCAGGCGTTTGAGTAATTCAGTGCAATTTGGTAATTTGAACATAGGAACGCAACAATGGACGACGAATTTGGATCACGCTTGGATGATGAGGCGATCGGGGATGGGATTTGGGATAACTGTGTATTGATGATTGCTTATTAGTTATTAATGGAAATGTGTAATTTAACTGTCATTGTATATTAATTATTGCTGTTTTTATTGTCTTTGCTGTTTGGAAACCGCTGTGAGTCGCCCTCGGGCTTGAGATACAGCGGTATACAAGAATAGTAAATAAATAAATAAATAAATAAATAAATAAATAAATAAATAAACCAATTTCTTCAGATGTAGAATTGTTTTTGCTTTGTTTTTGTTTTTTTTTTGGGGGGGGGTGTTGTTTTTTTTGTTTTTTTTTTAATAAACAGCAGTGTTGCAAAAGAGATTTTCAACTCCAGGAATCCTTCACTCATTATGAAACATTGCAGAATTTGGAAGGGTTTGGGGAAGGGGCTCTGTTTATTATAGTCTCAGAGGAATTTTGCCACTCTCTGGCCACTTCTACACAGCAATGTAAAATCCAGATTATCTGCTTTGAATTTGATTATATGACAATGTAGACTCATATAATTCAGTTCAAAGCAGATAATGTGTATTATTTGCTTTGATAATCTGGATTCTATGGCAGTGTAGAAGAGGCCTTAGTCATATTATTATACAAATCTTCTTGTTTGTCTATCTTTAAGTTGCCTGTTGATGGATTCTATGGGTTTTCATAGGCAATGAATACCTGGAGGTAGTTTTGCCAGTTATTGTTAGGGAAAACTACCCTAAAATGTAGCAGAGCATCCAAAAACCAAACAGGATACTTAAAGCTGAGCATCAGCTCACAGATAGCAA